TACCATAATGTTCATAGGATTGGTGTGTTAAGTTAGATTAACAACACAGCAATCATGAAAAATGAAATGGTCGTTAGACAGTTGCACTTTTTCGGGTTGTCAATAAGCTCGCGTTTATATTGGCCTATTGTTGTTTTAGCAACATTTACATATTTATAACCACCTCTGAGGAATTTGAGGGTCGTGAGTCACTGGCATTGTTATTTTAGGGGTCGTGGGCTGAAAAGTTTGCTGCTCTAATACTACATAGTAAACTAATAACTGCAATAAATACTGTAATAATCACAACAGTAAACTGTGGTGTATTGCAGTGTAAAATATTATATTACTTAATAGTTACCATAGCAACTGTAGAATCACCACAAGAGATTGATCACTGTAAATGTTGTTACCATAGCAACTGTAGAATCGCCATAAGACCTTGATCACTGTAAATGCTGTTTCCGTAGCAACTGTAGAATCACCAAGGCAGATTATTTACTATAGTTGTTGTGTTGCCATAGCAACGGTAGAATCACCACAGCGGATCAATAACTATAGTTGTTGTGTTACCATAGCAACTCTAGAATCACCACAACAGCTCAATTACTATAGCTGTTGTTTCCATAGTAACTGTAGAATCACAACAACAGGTTTAGTATTATAGTTTTTGTTATCATAGCAGCTGTAGAATCACCACAACAGATTAAATACTATAGTTGTTAACATAGCAACTGTAGAATCACCACAACAGCTCATTTACTATAGCTGTTGTTTCCATAGCAACTGTAGAATCGCTACAACAGATCGATCACTGTAAATGTTGTTACCATAGCAACTGTAGAATCGCCATAAGACCTTGATCCCTGTAAATGCTGTTTCCGTAGCAACTGTAGAATCACCAAGGCAGATTATTTACTATAGTTGTTGTGTTGCCATAGCAATGGTAGAATCACCACAGCGGATCAATTACTATAGTTGTTGTGTTACCATAGCAACTCTAGAATCACCACAACAGCTCAATTACTATAGCTGTTGTTTCCATAGTAACTGTAGAATCACAACAACAGGTTTAGTATTATAGTTTTTGTTATCATAGCAGCTGTAGAATCACCACAACAGATTAAATACTATAGTTGTTAACATAGCAACTGTAGAATCACCACAACAGCTCATTTACTATAGCTGTTGTTTCCATAGCAACTATAGAATCACTACAACAGATCAATTACTATAGGTGTTGTTTCCATAGCAACTGTAGAATCACCACAACAGATTAAATACTGTAGTTGTTACCATAGCAACTCTAAAATCACCACAACAGCTCAATTACTATAGCTGTTGTTTCCATAGCAACTGTAGAATCGCTACAACAGATCAATTACTATAGGTGTTGTTACCATAGCAACTGTAGAATCCCCACAATAGATTA